TTCTACAGTTCAGATTAACATTTCTGTGCCCATTTTGCTTTCTTGGTCAACAAATCAACTGTTGTGTTTTAGGTATGATTTTGTTCACTCTGTGCTTTGTTGTAACAGAGTTATAGTGGCAGATTTCAAATACTTGAGGTTAAAGAACGAGCGAAGAGGAACGTCGAAAGATTTCTTCACGTGATCGGAATAGATAATAGGGAGAAAAGAGTGGATATTACTGTTTTTGGGTAAATGGAGAAGTTCAAAGTAGGAAAGTGGGTTAAGATTGAAGGGGCACTGAACTCTCCTAGAGGAATATCTGTTGATAAAGACACTGGTAAGTAACTGTTTCTTTGAAATTTAAATTGTTGTTACTATATTGTGTTTTTTTTATTGAGTTTATTTTATTATGTCACCACCAAAAGTGGTGACATATTGTTATGATCTTCATTTTTTGTGACGGTGGTTGGAAGTTGGAGGTTGGAGGCCGGGGTTTGTAACAATTTCTTACAACTTCCAGTAACTTAACAAATACTGTTTAGACTGACTTGAATTTTTTGTGTATCATCTAGAAGTTGTCAAAAGTTCATATCTAACTTAAGATTTGAAATTTGACCTTCAATGACCTTTTCAAGGTCAATGACCTTCTCAAGGTCAAAAAAATGTCAAAAATGTCTTTTCAACCTGCTTCAATTTTTTCAACTAGCTTGAAATTGAACAATCTTTTTTTTCAAAATCATCTATAAAGTCTCAGAAGTTCATATCTGGCTTTAGATTTGAGATTTTCTAGGTCAAAAGAGGTCAAAAAGGTCTTTTTATGTCCCCACCACATAGTGTGGGGGCATATTGTCGGCCTATGCGCGTCCGTCCGTCCGTATGTATGTCCGTAAGTCCGACAGTTTTCTCCAAAACCACTACAGATATCAACTTCAAATTTTCAGGTTTTACTTATGAGTTCATACAGATGCAGTAGAAAAGATTTCGACTCGAAACCTACTTCTTGTCGGCCATTTTGAAGTCAAATGCTAAAATTCTTGTCTGCAAGCTTTAAGAAAAATGGCTTCACAGTTTCTTTTAAAACTTTAACATCTTCTTCAACTCACTTCAATTTACATCTGATTTTGGACATGTTGGCTCAGTTATGGTAGCCATTTTGAACGTCTTAAGAAAAGTCAGGGAGCAATAATATTTTGTATCATATTAGATGGTGTTTTGAGTTTTCATAATTAAACTGTTTAGTAGCTTTATAAATCATTTCAGGTGTCCTGTGTTGTAAAAGCCTACTTCACTGTTAAATGTATTTATAAGTGCTAATTTTGTAAAAAGAAATCGGCAAAAACTCACATTTGCTTTTTTATTGTGAGCCTTTTTGGATTTTCCGTCCTAAAATCTTGCCTGTAAAGTTTGTACAGACCTGTTTAGTTGACAGGGAGTTTTAAGTCATGTGACTTGGTATATAATTCTCGACCAAAATGGCGGTCTATAATGTTGTAAAACATACTTTTATTATTACCTTCACGATCCAACAAAAAAAAGCTGGCCCCACACTTGCCAGTCAGGGAATGATGACAGGGTTCATAGACACTCTTACGATTGAAACAAAATTTTGATAGGATGATGGTACTTTGCCAATAAGGAAACTATTTGACCATTAGCTTTAAAAGTTAGTGTGGCACAATCAATAGTGCACAACATTATTCAGGAGTTTGTTGCTAGTGTGATGACTATCAATGCAATGTTCTACCCAATCTTTCGTAGTCATAATAAAGCACACAAAGTGTAATTTTTAATAACTGGATCATAACAAAAATGTTCTACCATTTCTTATTGATTCACATTAGGTTTTATTGTTTCTGTTACAGTGAACTGTATCTTATAACTCAAAAAATGTATTGATAAATTGTGTCATAATTTGCTTTGCAGTTTGTTCAGACTATTAAAATTGTACAACACATTATTTGTTACAGAAATCCAACACTGTATTGTTGTAATTTGGAGTAAGTCCAATATATTTTGCTGGACAACTTATTTTCATAACTATATTTTTTAATTTATTGTAATTGATTGATCATTATTTAGTTTTTACTCAAGCACTGGGCAGTATACAAATTGATGAATAAGTTTAAAATGATAACCAGAACTCAAAACATCAAAAAGTACCAGAGGTCTGCGATTAGCTATTTGGACTTTTGTATTTTTGTGTCTGTCTTTATTACAATTGATCAAGATATATTCATATTTGATCATATAAATTACCTTTGTTAGTTTTATATAATTAGTTAGAACGGACCCCTGGCATATGTACTTTAAACAGTGCTGGGTTCTCCCCAGAATCTAATTGCATGGCGCTCCCCCCTGCTCACACATTTTCCCCGCCCTGTTCTCCCCCTGCTTGCTTCGCCCGCCCTGCTTAGCGCCCCGCTACTTCAAAAATTACGTACATTATTTTATTCTTTTGGATATTCGACGAAATCACATAAAATTCAAAAATTTTTCAAAAAGTTTTTCCTGATTTGCCATTCCGAAGGCCGAATCTTAAATGTCTTCTGATTGGCTCAAAACTCATGATTAGTTACGAAGTATCCAATCAAATTATCTAATTACTAATCGTGCGTCATCGACATAATCTGCCCCAGGCTCGGTTCAATCACTTGATCTGACTAAGTATGCGCATGCGCCCAAAACATTCTAACCTATCAAAATCGTTCATTTGATGCGTGCGTTCAGAAAATTAGAAATTAACAGTTGAACCTGGCGCAGATTACCCATATACTGCAACGCGGAGTGATATGATCACCGATTATCAAAATCGCCAATTTGGAATAAAACAAACATAATAAAAAACGACTAAAACTACAATTTGACAATGAAGTATTATTTTTTATAAATAGTTATTATAATGGTTGTCATGATAAAGAAGTTCGACTTCCGGTTCTTTATGCGGGAAACTCAAAAAAAAAAATGGGTAAAATTAAAAAGCCCAAGCGTAAAGGAAATGAATTAATGCTTTCACAGTTCCTTGCAAGAAGGAAACCAGATGATGATCATGTTGGTACCCCAGACGCCGTCACTGCCATTGATACCCCAACAGAGCAAATTCCAACACCTCAAAATCATTCTATAATAGAGGAAAGATCATTCACACTTGGCCTTGTAAATCCTTTTACCAACTAAGCAGTTCCCGACCCAGAACTTTATATTAATCCCCAATCCACCCAATCATGCCCATCAGATAACATAGAAAGGAAGTGAATAGTACCCCTATGGGAGCTGCCGTAGTACATTTGACAATGACGAAGGACGCGAACGAAGCGAGGGGCAAAAATTGGCCCAAAAATCATGCGAGCGAAGCGAGTGGTGAAACTTGTTAAAAAATCCCCCCCTGCTATGAAAAAATTCTGGGGAGATCACTGCAGTGGAAATACAAAATGCACTTGCCTAGCGGGACTAGCTCATGGATTGAATTGAGTTTTTATACAGAGGTTTAGCATATCATTTCCCAAAAAATGAGTATGCTCATTAAAATTGGTCCATCATTTCAGAACTAAATGCCGGAAAACTGTCAATTTAGCTGATTTTTCTCGGCATTCATACACACAAATTTTCATACCATGATAAACAGACAAAAATAATGTGGCGGAAGTAGCTCTAGGGAGTGTCAGAAAATGATTTTTTTGTGAGAACATTTTCACTTTAAAGGCCTTAAATTTAATAATAACTTACATAATTTTCAATAATGTTTTGGATACTTTTTGTTTGGGTAGAGACCATATTATGTCATCATGTCACAAAATAATATCGTCTGACAGACAATCAATCGATGAATATATTTTTTGAACATATTTTTATCTTACTACCCCTACGCAAATAAGCGCTTATATGAAGGCAGGTTGCAGTGAATGTTCGTCAATATATATGCATTTTGTGAAGTTTCTAAAAAAGTATTGGTTATCCAGATTCAAGAAAGAAGTTCCAGACAGATGGACAAATTAACCAATGTTGTAGCAATGGAAAAAGAAACATCAGCTGGCTTGCAAGGACAGCAAACTTCAGAAACCTGTGTCAATCAATATAAGAAATGAAACTAAGAATGGAACAAAGAATAAAACAAATGAAAACATTGAAACCATAAATATGAGGCTGAATCCTGCGGAAACTTTTCTTCGATTGAGGCACAAGGACTTGAAGAAGGCATTAAGCCAAAAATAAAGGTTGAAGAAATGAAATAGTGATAAATGAATGTTTTTTATCTAATTACAGAGACAAGCAGACTCAGATAGAAAGGACATCCAATACAGTTCGATTACTGTGCTTTGGATGGTCTGGATCAGCTAATGCAAATTCATAAACAAAACATCATTGAGAATGCAAAGTAATTAATGAGGGTTATATAAAAGAAGGAATTGACAGTAGCAATTTGAGATGTTTTGTAAATAATGTAGGGAAAAGATGATATTCACATTGTTCTTATTGGTCATTAGAAATACAAGGAAGGACTTAGACATACAACATTGTAATAATAATATGACAGGATGTTGATGTATGAAATGTACTTCTGTTGTAACAAGTGCGATGCACTGTCCAAAAATCAGACCTGACAACCATGGGAAATGCTGAAGATAAGTAGATACAGCAGCCAGAGATCAGAAAAAATGTTGCGGGCAATAGAATCATTGAAGATTGGAATTCTGCCACAATCTGCGACTAAAATTAATGATGTAAACCAGATAAAAAAGGGCAAATACTATAATCCCTTGAAGTACTACTACAACCCGTAACCTTAGCAAGCTTCAGGAAAGCGGGCCATTCTCTTAAATATGATAAATCTCAACATAAGGATCTGGAGTTCTATAGTCATTTTAGGAAAAATTGCTTTTCAGGTATATGGGATTAAATTCTACTTTATCACTTACCTTTTAAACACTTACACAATATATCACTTCATTTTATGAAGAGATATAATTTAAACTTTACATACTCTATAGTATATACAAAAACCAAAGAATCAAAAAACATACCTTTATATTTCTCCGCAGCTGCCTTTGTAGTTGATCTTCTCAGGTGTAGCTTTCTTTTCCAAGCACAATTACTTTCCCCCATTCCTAGAAAATAATTTAAAAAAAATGAATAAAGCTGTGCTACATCAATTGTCAAACAAAATACAAATATGTCAACATGAATTGCTTATGAGCATCCCAAACAACTTAATGTACATTATGTGAAATGTATAGGTCTATATGTAAAGCTGGAGAGGTCTTAAACATGTAGGCGAGACCAGAATCAATATTATCTTTCCAAATCACTCAGCATACCATCAGCAAATATAACTGTCAAAAAATCATACCATGCTAGCTAACTAAATTCATAACTAGCCAACCTACTTTGAAACATCAAAGCATGTTCAAAACAAGGCATTTACATGACAAAATGTTGCTCACATTATTATGAGTTCAATCTCAAGTCGGATTTGAATTTCTGAGAACTTGTAGATGATTTTGAAAAAATAAATGGGTCAATTTGAAGCAAGTTAAAAAATACTTTTTTGACCCTGAGTAGGTCATTGAAGATGAAATCTAAAATCAGATTTCAACTTCTGAGAACTTGTAGATAATTTTGAAAAAAATTGGTCAATTTGAAGCAAAATGAAAAAAAAAACCTTTTTGACCTTGAGAATGCCATTGAAGGTCAAATCTTATTTGACCTTGAGAATGCCATTGAAGGTCAAATCTACTATAATAGTCAGATTTGAACTGTTGGGAACTTGTAGATGATTTTGAGAAAAAATGGTCAACTTGAAGCAAGTTAAAAAAGCCTTTTTGACCTTGAAAAGGTCATTGAAGGTCAAATCTCAAATCTTAAATCTAAAGTCAGATAGATTTTAACTTCTGATAACTCGAAGCAAGCTAGATAATTCGAAGCAAGTTGAAAAAATACATTTTTGACCTTTTCAACCTTGAGAAGGTCATTGAATATCAAATCTCAATTCTAAAGTAAGATTTGAACTTCTGATAATTTGTAGAAGATTTTGAAAATCTTCAAATTGAAGCAAGTTGAAAAAAGACCTTTTTTGACCTTGAAATCTTAAATCAGATTTGAAGTTCTGAAAACATGCAGATGATTTAAAAAAAATTGAAGTCAGTCTAAACAGTATTTGTTATGTTATTTGAAGTTGTAAGAATTTGTTACAGACGCTAATCACCAGCTGCCAACCACCAAACTCCATCAAAAAAGGAGACCACAATATGTCACCACTTTTTGGTTGTGACATAATTATTCTCTGCACTTAGAAAATACATTTTAATACATCAATGTTGATTGATGGATCCTTTTTGTAATACAAAGAAATATAACAGATGTGAACTTTCCTAATAATTTAATTATGTACATCTAGGGAAATTGGAGTGAATAATTGAGGGGTCATACTGAACTTTGTAAAAATTCACACATTAAGGGGATATTTGTCACTTCAATCTCTGGTTGATTAATGAACTTAACAAAAAAAACAGGTATTATATTTCCTACCAGCAACAAATAAGGATTTGCATCAAAATAATGATTTTTAAATAAAATTGGACCATTTACTCTGGGAGCAGGGTGAAGCAGTCCCTATTCTTTGCCTGGTACAATTCAATATTAAAAATCTTCAGAGATAAATTCACAGTAAATATGAGATGTTCTTTAAATTGTAAATAACTGAAAACAAGATAAACATGAAATAATTAATCTATGATTTTTATAAAAATATGAGATCGAGATGTGGATTAATCTGTACATTAATTACTCAAAATAAGATAAAATCTGTTTTATGTACATTCAACAAATAAGTGTTCAGAAATGTTTCAATTTTTCAAACAAATGATGTGATTGTAATTAAGCTGTTTACAAATTGTAGATACAACCAAACCAATGGGTAATCAATACAATATTTAGAAAATTAAAATATTCTTTGCTGCAATATATCATGCTTTGAAAAACTTGACACATGCAACAATTGAGAGACTTAAATTAAAGGTCAATTTATTCATAAAAGGTGAAAATACAAATGTAGAAACTGTTTATCCACACTGGCCTTTCTAACTGAAGCATTTGAAGATTTCATCAATATGAAATTTCATTTTAAATTCATCATTGCAGCTTTTTGTTTCTCTCAATTTGTGTATATATTTTTATACAGGGCAGTTAATCTGGCAATTAAAAAGCAAAACAAGAAGCAACAAGATATGGAAGATGATCCCAATTCAGTGAATAACCAACCCTCAAAGAAACAGTATTTGCCTTTAGAGGACACATCGCATAGCTGGACAAAATCTTTGACATGTGAAAAAGAGACTGGATATAACATTCACAAAAATGGGAGTATATTTGTTAGTTGTTTCAATGATACAATCTATGTGACAGGGTATGATATTGCACAGACAAAACCTGGTGCTGACTGCACCCATAGTACATGCAAGAAGATAAACCATGGTAGGCAACCTATAATGTACCGATACCCAAAACATCCAATGCTACCAATAGAAGACATGGTTACACTTGTTGTCAAAACTGCGAATAGATTAGACCTTGTCCAGCGGCTAATCATCAGTGTATGGAATCTCTATCCTAAAATGAAATGTATTGTCATTGATGACTATAATGAGGATTTTGGGAAAAGACCAGACCTACAAAGTTTCTTTCAAAAGTCATCGAATGTGATGTATCTCCAGACTCATGTTAATGCAGGCATAAGTTATGGTAGAAACCTTGCACTCAACTTGGTAAGGACAAAATATGTCTTCCTGACTGATGATGATGTTGTCTTGGATAAAAACTCTAACATTACTAAACTAGTCGATTTAGTAGAACATACTGACTTAACCTTTGCTGGAGCAGCATACACAAAGCCTAAGCCCTATTCAGGAGCTTTAATGATACGGCCAACACACCCAGATCCAAAAAGAAGACCAACTTTGATAAGGAATGAAACTGTGGAATTACTGCAATACCCACTGATTTATTATGAGAGAGTGAAGTGTTTTGGTCACTGCTATGTCACAGATATAGTGCAGAACACATTCGTAGCCCCCTTGGAACATTTATTAAAGATTGGGGGTTGGGATGCCAGTATCAAAACACAAGAGCATATAGATTTTTTCCTAACTGTGCGTAATATTGGACTGAAAGTTGCCAGATGTTTAGATGTCATTGTATATCATCGACCTCCAGTTGTCAATACACTACGTAAAGAAAGAGGTCAAAATGCAGGAATTTACTTTGAAATCATCAAAAATAAATGGGAATTTTCAAAATGGCTGCAATGTAAGCCTAGTGTAATCTTCAAATATCCAAATGTGACTCTACCTGGTGATTGTAGGCAACATTACAACTTTGACAATATTAGGTACCCATCATGGTACATTAAGAGCAATGCAACATCCAATACTGACATTGATGAAGTTTAATACATCTTATTTGATCAAAAGAATTATAGATCAAGGCCTACAAGAAATAAATGTAAAAAATTACAATCAAAACTTAATTAAAACTCATCTTTGAAATTTATTACTTAACCTTTACCATGCTGCCTTATTTCAGCAAATATATCCCACGCAACTGGCTTATTTTTCAAAGAGTGCAAAAAATGATATACCTGGACTAAATAATTAATATCTCAATAACTACTGAATGAATCTGGATAAAATTTTCACAAAGGGAAGATACAGTGGCCTGGCTCATGAAAAAAATGTTCTCATGAATTTTTTCGTACATTAACACGACTGGGCATAAATATACCATGAATACTCCTCCGGAATCCGCCGCTCCGCCTCTTCGTCTGGTCAGAATCCAAATCTGAATTTGCAGCGATCGAATGTTCAATTTTTCAATTCAGAAAATATTCTAGTTTCTATTTTCGATGACCTTTATCGGCTTCCAAGAGCCTAAAGAGCTCGAAATCGTAATACATTTCCTCCACATTTTCGTTGTGATCGTATTTGTCCACCATTTTGTACGATTCGTTCACTAAAAACGACTAAAACACTGTTTAAATTGTTGAATTGAGAATTATTTTTCGAAATATCGCCATTTCTAGGTCAACAGGAAGTCATGTTAGGCACTGAATAAATCTGGCAATCTAATTGGACAATACGAATGGCGCGAAAAAGTAAAGTTTTTAAAAGTTTGAAATCGGGCGTACGGGTCCGCCGGCAGTTGTGAGAGACATTTTAGTTTCGGCGGACGAGTCCGCCGGCAGCACGCTAAAGGTTAAACATCATCCTCCCTACTTAATCGTCAAAAGCACACAAGGTATCACTTCACAAGTAGGACTATTTGAAAGCTTGTCATTCTTAAATGTACTCCCATTAAGTTTGTCTGTCATGGTTTGAATAACTATAACAATTAAGTATGAAACACACATCATCATTTCCTCAAGTGAAAGAAAATGTTTAAACATATTGTTTAAGGTTAGTATTTATTAATTGTGTTCTATATTCTTAAGATATACAAGTGTATAACTTGACGGAAGTGTAAAAAGGTCATATGAGGTCAAAAGTATAACAGAAAATACAAATTAGATATGTAAATTTTTAAACTGGTTAATTTTTAGTTGAACAGGTACAATGTACTTTAAATTAAAATTACCCTTTTTAAAAGATTTCAACATATAGCACTTGTGTAGAGGTTGACATTTAAAGATTGATTAAGTATTAGTCTGCAGCAAATTGAAAAAAATTAGTTGAACATGTACAATGTACTTTGAATTCAAATGACCTTCTTTACACATTTCAACATATAGCACTTGTGTAGAGGTTGACATTTAAAGATTAATTAATTAAATATTAGTCTGCATTAATTTGAAAAATTGACATTGGTTGATGTCAAAAGCCCAATAACCTCAAATCTAAAACATGAATCAATATAAATATACTACAGTATTTCTTTTTTTCTGCCCAACTCATTTTCCAACCCGAAGGATACAGATGAACTATCATTTAAAGATATTATGTAAGCAATTGATGATATAAATAATTTGGTATAATATTAAATTATTGATTATAACTATTATTAGAGGTCTTGCTAATGATTCTACAGACCAGAAAGAGTATGAACTTTAAGAGTTTTTTTTTAATCTGGCTTGGTGGCATTTTTAATTTACAAAGCCAATAGCTGTTATTCTCACCAGCTCTTCCATAACCCCAAAATTATTAAATTGACAATATGTAATATACAATCAATAAATATATAGACATAAATATCAAAGATCAGAAAAAATTCTAGCAAAGGAAGCATAAAAAGTTAAAAATTGAAAAACACTTTTAACAATTTTAGTATCAATAATTACAGAAAATAAGGTAAATGTAAAATTGTATGGAATGTAAGTTATATACCATTATAAATCAAAATATTTTTTGATTTTTTAAAAATAAGAAACAGCTTTTTTTTAATCATGCATCTTTCTACCCTAGCTATCTTTGGATGAGACACCTTGATAATATCATCTCACCCTTGTTGTCTAATGATAATAGAAAGCTTTCAATATAAGTTATTTTGAATATGTTTATGCAAACTTGTACTTGTACAAGACAGGCATAGCACTGAGGAGGAACTCTGGAAAAAAAGATAGGGGTCTTTATCCTTCAAATCAAAACAAAACAAAAAATATTTGGCAAGTATGAAGGTTGTGAGTTCCGGTTTCAAGATATGATTACAACAATTAATTCTGCCATTGCTAGAATATTCACAAATCAATTCCCTCGTTTAGGAAACGAGGAAGATTTTTTTAATGTACTGGTTTCTTTGAGAAACCTTCCTCCTGAGTGATGTTTACACCATTTAAAAGTGAAAGGTGTAGCAAAACTGGATTCTGCTGATGGTTAATAGGTGGCAAACAATAACGATGATGAATGACTATGAACTATATCACTCCAATATCACTTCATTTTAACTAATAACAACTGTAATAATTAATAAACAAGATGACCTTTAATTACCTAAAAGGAGAATATCCATAAATTAAGCATATATTGCTTTTTATGATTTATACATATGTTTAGCCTTGCCCAACTAAGTATTTTTTTACTAATCTGATCTTGAATTATTACCGCCTTGTACAATCCAATACATCTCCGCTGTTATTATGCTGAAATATTCAACGGTTTCGAGATTTCCATAATACCTACGCTATCAGGGGTATCGCGAAACCTTATTGATTGACAGATATTGCATGGACACGACGTGTGACTTCAGGCTGAATGACCAATCAAAACGTTATCAGGTTGAGCTGCATAAACAAAACAAACTTCCAATCTACGACTTGAAATTCAATGATCTGATCGAGTGTTTCGTTAGAGTTACAATATATCATGTAATTAAATGTACATTTGAAGGTAAGAGTCATTAATATAAATTAAATCATGCGATTCGATATTGATTTAAAACTGATTTCGCGATGAAAATGCACGAAGACCTAGTCCAATGTAGCGGGTCATGTTGTCGTCGATCGGATTGAATCTCAGCCTACATTTTCAGCGATCGTTTCAACGTTTATTGTTGAAATCTTCTCACCTTTGGTTATCCGATCGATGCCCTGGCATCCACTAAATTCTCATTGATATTTATCTGATAAAACATTTGTATTTTCATGATGAATTCGTGCTCAGATTCGTGCAAGATTTGTTCATGAAAAGTCCCGGTGAAAAGTGTACTTGTTTTTGACCGTGCATAAAAATGAGCTTACGCTACAGAGCCGTCGTTGATTGGTCAAATTTTACCGACATCAACAAACTGTCGGTAAAGCACGTGGCTTTCTCTTTGGTACAAGGCGGTCATAATAGAAATCAAGATAAGTAAAAGAGACCGACTTGGGCAAGGCTAACATATGTTCTGTATTATCCAATATGTCATCATAATGTCAAACCTACACAGACTATTTCAAAATAATTATTACTCAATACAAACTTATATCATTTCATCAACATTATTTAAAAATAGACTTATTTCAAACTTTTTTCAATATTTTTCAATTCTGAAATGGAGATAAGAACTTGGAAAAGATAGCAGATCACATAGCAGTTTGCTTTTTGTTTTCTATGCAACTGAATAGTGCATCAATGTAAAGTAATTTACAACCATATAATCTTTTGTAATACTATTTATAAGTCAATCCAACCCATAAATTGGATTACCCTGCCCTAAAACCCAATTATGAAGAGTTATATATTTCGTACCTTTCAGGTCTTCCATAAGTTCTATCATACTTGGATAGTTGATTATCATATCATCAATATCCTATAATAAATAAAATATACATGTACATATAAAAAATTATGTAAATGAAACAAACAAGTCAAAAGTGGTCATTTTAAATTATAAAACTTTAATATATTTAAAGAAATAAAGACAGAGATGCAATGAGTTATGGTGCAATAATAGATGACCAATGATTTTGGGTGATCATTGTTGAAAGACCAAAAACGTAGAGCGATTGTGGTGTTTGGCAATGGCCAGAAGAAAATCTAACATCGTCATTAAATAGCTACTTAGGGTTATAACTTACAATAGTTAATAATGTGTAGCCCGCTCTGTTCAGCAGATTCCCTAGATCTCTCACTTCGGTGAATGGTGAAACATGGGGAGCAAAACCCTGCAACGAAATAGTTGTGAAAGTATTGTCTGGGATCATATTCATTATCATATTTACAGATTTAACAACCAAACAAAACCAAATCAATCAATGTACAAACAAATTATCTCAACTGTACAAAATGTATAAAACTAATGCCTACCCCTTCTAGCTCAGTTTCTGTTAGTTGTAAGGCAACTCTGAGCTCAAAAAGTGTTTCTCCTCCAAACATACAACCAATGAATGCTCCATCTGGTTTCAAGGAGTTAAACACCTGAAAATATTGTACAGTGGAAAATGTAGTCATGTAGCGCTTAGAAAAAACATTCAAACATAACTTGATTTTAATTGAAATACATATATGAGTACATGCATGAATCAATGAACTTCAAAAAGATGTTTTTGTTAAGCTATAGGGGAGTTGTGTATCCCAGAATTATTTCGCATCAAAGTCATAAGTGTAAAATATAGGAACAAAGGGGCATACCTGTTTAAAAGTACTTGGCAGGTTATTTACCCAATGAAGACTGAAACCACAACAGTACATTTCATTTACAGAATTGAGATGACATGATCTTTGATTCGCTTTTTGATTTAAAGATAGTAAACAATTACACCAAATATTTATTAACTGAAAATGACATCAAAGATTCAAAATGATTTGCCAATATTATATGAACCACACCAGGGTAACTTCTAGGTGATTACATCTTGTCTTAGAAAAGTATTTCTTTAGATCTTTAGATGCAAAAAATCATATAAAAATTATAATATTTCAAAATTGTCCCAGGGTAAGAATTGAAACGAAATCTAAACATTTAATCATATGAAGCAATAAGAAAACCTACCTTAAACTACTAACAAACAGATCTATAGAGTTGTCTTTAAATGGAATAAATTCTTCATCTACTATAACTTTAGATACAGGGACTGTTTCTGGTAAAACTGCTTGTTCCTAAAGTAAATGATTCAGACATTAAAAGATCCCCCTAAAATTGTATTTGTGATAGATGTCATAAGTTCCCTTACATACTCATAATAAAAATTTAATACATGTATAAGGTCAAAAATTTTGGGGGGAAGGTGGGAGTTTGACATTATCATCGTGGCTTTGGGATATATATGGTTTATATTTCTTATGACAGGTTTACACTTAAGAGTTTGCTTTTTAGCTAGGTTTCGTTACAGGTTTTGGTCCTTAGTGATCAAATGTAATACGAACCTTATTAAAATCATAATTTACATTATGTCATTACACACTTCATTAAATTAAATGCATAAATCCACATATCTTACCAAAACTTTTTCTGCCATGTCACACATATAAAGTTTGCCAGCCATATCATCATAGATATGTTTCGATACATGGCCCCTTCTACATCCTAGATCCACAACAGTTTCAAACTTTCTGAAAATATCAATAATGTCATTCCTGTAGTTCATATAATGGTACACCCCAAAACCTATGGAGATTTGACTAATAATCACAACATTTTATAATGTCCAGCAAAAAGATGAACTCACCTTTTAACATCACATACTCTATCTGCAAGCCTCCAACCAGCCTGAAAAAAAATTGGATTATTGGATTTAATCATATCAGATATTAAAGATAAGATAAGAGATAACTTCAAGGCCCAGACAAAAAATAAAGACCAAAGGGGATGAGAGGATAATGACTGAGATCAAACATATGAAAGAATTTATCTGCATTTTTAACAAATTTAACTTAAATTCAGATAAAAAAATGCAGATGTGGATGCCAAATAAGTACAAGTAAAAGAACTTTATGTACCAAGCATTTAATCCAAAGGGTAGGGTATGCAAATGTGCAATGTATAAATAAATTTTGCCCATGCGTGAAGTTTAAAAGGACTCTTTATTTTTGCTCTATAAAAATGTGAAAGAAGTTGTATTGATATGGAGAACTGAATTCAACAATGTTTTTCTCTTAAACCAATCATTGAAAACATTTTGTAAATGAAGGACCCACGGTCCTATGCTCACACAGTTTGGAACCTTCAGAGGAATTTATATCCTGACTTTCAAACAAAAATATTGATTTGGATTTGTAGTCTCGAACTTTGAGAAACTTAGATAGCATAGTTGTATGACCTAGTTTGATGATCTTCGACCTTGAAAATTTTACTTATTCAGAGCTCAGTAAGGTCTTTTGTGATTCAGCTGACCAAAATTTACATCCAAAAATCAATTTGAAAATCAACTTTTTTGACCTTTCGAAGGTCACTGAAGATCAAGTAAAAGTCAAATCCTAAAACTAATGTCAGATTTGAACTCCTGGCAACTTGTAGATGATTTTCAAAAAAAAATTTGGTCAAATTGAAGCAAGTTGAAAAATAACTTATTTTTACTGTTTTTTGACGTCAAATATCTCAAAAACGGTAAAACTTTGATGCTGACATATATTGAGAAATATGTAGGGAATCCTTAAATCTATTAATGATGTAATTTATTGCAGGAAATGATCAAGACTAAGGCAAACTTTAAGAATCTTGTCAATCACAAAACCTGCCATTGACTTTATACATGAGAAAGTTTCCTGAAAATGACCCAAGTCCTACTTTTTTTCAAATTTTATAAAGTAAACACCAAAAACCGTAATTCCAAGAGCTTTGAAATCTTCAGAGGACATAAGTTGCATATACACCAACTACTAAAAGTTATTTGAAAGTTCTACTTCAACAAAGTGTCTAGTATTTACAGAAAATTTGACTTTTTGACGTCAAAATCCGCAATTTCTCGGAAACCGGGCGAACTGGGAAATGGCGATGATAGGTCAAATAGGCATTATGGATATGCATAAAATGAATGTGGATATGACTCAATCCGAATAGCAGTTTTAATTTGTGCGGCCAATGTCGACGGACGGACGGACCAACGGACGGACCAACGGACGGACCAACGGACGGACCAACGGACGGTTGCCTGGTCAATCCCATAGGCTCACTGTGTGAGCCAAAAACACTGTATTTTATGTAATGTTGACTGATTGACAACAATTTAGTGCAAAAATTATTTAGAAATATTTAAACTGTTTTTGTTAATTTTTTTTTTGTCTTTTAGTGCAATTGTTTTTCTCCTTTCTACCAATTCTTGAGAATTTAATAAAATTTATTTCCAAACCTTGTTGGAACAAAATAGCATATACAACATGTTTTTAGACCTCTCAATATAAATGTATATAGTTATACAAAAAATTTTTGGTTGATTTCAAAAAAGTATTCAAAAAATTAAAACAAAATCCCCCCAAAATAGATAAAATCAAGACAGACTGAACAAAGGCTCCAAAGAAACCATGACTCGTATTGGATACCCGTCTTACTCCATCGACCCCAATAAGCATCGACCAGGTCTCTAATGAACTGGCACACCATCCGGACAAGGACTATGTTAATTATCTATGTAACGGGCTAAGACATGGATTTGATATTATGGCAGAAAATGTCGATCTTCAACCATAATCTTGTAAAAACTTATTATCCTCCAGGTCTCAACCAGAAGTTGTCAGTGAATTAATAGAAAGGGAGCTGCAGAATGGATTTCTTCTGGGACCGTATAAGCATATCTCTTTTGACATCTACCAAATAAATCCAATCGGAATCGCCGAGGGGAAATACTCAAAAAAGAAGACTTATATTTGATTTGTCAGCGCCACATGACAATGCCGAACATCTGAGCATAAATAACCTTATAAACAAGGACATGTGCTAGATCGCACACCACACTTACAAAATTCACTACATAATGCATTTCATTAGACAATTTTTGGACGATCAACCCCCTGGATAAGACGCACAATGGCGCTGTTAACACATATATTTATAACAGGCCCAATATACCAATGGCGGTTAATTACTAAGACCGTGGGACCAACAACGTGCCTGGAATATCTTGGGATTATCCTAGATTCCGAGAAAATGGAAGGGATGAGTTGTCTTGGGATGAGTTGTCTAAGGATGAGTTGTCTTTGGCATGACTTGTCTTGGGATCAGTCTAGAAACCATTCCAATCCAGCATGGGTCTGCAAGGGATGGGATCCATTGAATGACATCTCGACATGGCTATGCAACCGGGTATCATACAACAACCTGCACAAGGAATGCATACTGTATACAGCCTGGTATGGGCCTATGACTATCGCACCAGCAGACATGGGACACTTCAAGAAACACGCTGATGTGACAAGGTACGCATCATGATGCTTTTTATGTATTCATGACAGTGTATCTCCCATACCATCTGAATGAAACCTTAAAACTTTTTAATATAGGGTACACATTCTTAACCAGGGTCTGATTGGGTGAAATATGAAAAATTTGGGCTGGATTAGTCAGTACCAAATAATGAGTTAATGCTGGTGGCCACTTTAGTAAAATCCTCTGCTCAAAATTCCACCTTGTATAACAAAAACAGTGGGTCAAATTCAAACTCTTTTTGTGACGGAAAACAAACAAATAAGCATCCGTTGGAATAAAGGTCACTTCTGCCAGCACATTTGCTCGGAATGCGGAAAATTCCAGAGCAGCAGACTGCTCCTCAAAATCAAGATCCCAAAATGAAAAAAAAAACAAAATAAAAAATTCACAGCTAAAGCTCCATATATCAAAAACAGAAGCGCCGAAAGATTTAACAAAAGATAAATCGAACCCAATTATTCAATACATAAAAGCCAATTTGACAATTCCCAAAACATTACCCACTCCAATTAATGCAAAAGCGTTATTGACAATTCTAGATGGCTAAGATGTGGACAAGACAAATTTTCTGGTAAATGGTTTCCGTCAGGGCTTCAAAATACCTTTTATGGGGACATTCCAAAGTCTACAAATCAAAATTTGTTACCCGCATACAAACATCCTATCACTATTAAAGAGACCCTAAGGGTCTATCAGTTAACGAGGGCATACCACAGAAATATACCGCAGTAAAATACCAGATTCTATTTCATAAACCGGAACTCCCGGATCTATATGAGATGTGCAGTGCACATGCGCTTATCAGTGCAGAAAGCGGAGCACTTTGGTAGACAGGGTTGTTCACATTGTACTGAAATATTAATCAACGAAGTTGAATTTGGCATTTATACGAAGATATTTATTCATATTTCAACCATTTATTTTTCTAATTTAAAAATCCTAAAGAAAGGGATAGGGGACCAAAAAGAATGTTTCCCTCGCAGAGGGAGAAGCTTGCAAACAGGTAAGTCAGCCGAAAATTGACAATATAAACGTCTTTTCAAGTCAGGTCCAAAAAATTCTCCAGCCACCGGTGTCAGACTCGACCACAGTCTCAGTTCCAGTTGAAAGTTCTTCAACTCAGGCAAGTCCAGTAATCACACGTTCGTGTGGAAATTCTAGTGGAAATTTATTGAACAATGAAGTATTGAAAGAGATTTTAGGTTCACTGAAAGGTTTAACTAGTCGCATGGATGCCTTTGAAAGCAACCAAGGAGATTTTTACTCTCAGTACGACGAGAATGAGCCGGGTCCTGAGGATCAAGCCTGGAATACTGGTGATGAAAATGTGCTCGATGAGCCCAGTACAAAAAAGAGTAAGATAGACTTCAAGGAGAAAATATCTTCTTATCAAGCCAAAGAAAGTATGTCACAGGACGTTAATGAAATTTTGGCGGAACACATTAACACGTCCGGTGATCATGCAAAATGGATGGAGGGGGAGTAGGCAATTTCTGCAAGCAAACTCAACAAATTTTGAAGATTTATTTTTTCAAGAGAAAATTTACAACTGAATTGCCAAATGAATTCTTTTTGCTATAAATCGGGCAACAATGGTCTACACGACCTATAATAAATAGGTATAAAGGACATTATTATCACAGTACTAATGACATTGCTCACTTTTTAAAGTTAGCTTCCATGCGTTTTACAAAAAAATAAACGGGGAGATCTATCTAGGATGGGGTCGATTGATGTCTATTGTAGATTTGGGGTTTTTTGGATGTTGTGAAAACACTTGAATACAAAGGATATGATACCAAGATGCAACATTATCTCTCCAAAGGGAACAAGGCACAGACGTGAACAATATCGTACCTAAAACACAGCATTGTGGTGTTGACCAAGAAAGCAAGATGGCCGCAGAAAAGTTAATCAGCTCTAGAACTCATCACTGTGTAACATATGTAAAAATTTGAACGGTTTGGCTGGAAACATTTACCCAGAATGCCCAAAAACTAATCAGTTCTAAACTTTCATACATAGAAAGATCCCTGAAAATTTCAGATGAATCCCTCAAATGGTTTGGCTGGAAACCTGTAGACAAGTCTTTAAAGTGAAGATTTTAGGACGGAAAATCCAAAATGGCCACCTTAAAATTTACTCACAATGGCCAAAAACTAATCAGTTCTTGACATTGATACGTAGAAACATCCCTGAAAATTTCAGATGAATCCCTCAAATGGTTTGGCTGGAAACCTGTAGACAAGTCTTGAAAGTAAAGATTTTAGGACGGAAAATCCAAAATGGCCACCATTTACCCAGAATGCCCAAAAACCAATCAGTTCTTGACATTGATATGTAGAAAC